GATCGAGAGGTGAGCGAACGCCGGTATGTGTTCGCTCACCTCCCGATCTACTGAGTCGACCTGTGACAGTCTCATTGTCACAGGTCGGCTTAGAACTATGAGGTGAGTGGAAAGCACTCACCTCATAGTTCTCCTTTAAGGATCTACAGCTGAGTGATACACAAATAAGATACATTTCTGCTTGAAGCTAACCTTTGGTAATGTGAAACATTATCTACTAACCTACATAGCATTAAACTGACAGCATAAACTCAAAGAGCTAATTTACTTGGATGATGTGCACATGCAGAGTCTCTGTGTCATTCTGCATTGTATTAACTTCCTGGTTGTGGGAAAACAATTGTGCGCACTGCCCGCATTGCACTGTGCAAATCTTCAGGTGCAGACATTGATATGTATGGGTGTACTTTTGGCTATGCAGTTCACCACCATAAGAACATCTTAGCCTGGTTCTGGGCAGCAGATGTTTAAGTGAAGGCATTGGCATAACTCTGCTGCCGTCAGCTGTTGCGTGTGTTAGTTTATATTGCTATACTTTGCCACATGTTCACTTTAATCCTGTGCTAGTGAGTGAGTCAAATCTTGTGTGGTGTAGGCTAATATCTCTTATTTATTTAGCTTGGTTAGTTAAGTAGTGGCGGCTGCATAAATCACGGTGTAGAATTCAGGAGTCGGCAAGCTCCATCAAGGGACTAACAAATTACAAGTTTGAATCATGTACTACTGACAATAGGAGAGTGTTCACAAATGTATGTACCTCCTTCAGTTTTGTAGGTGCATGGGCTGCTACCCCTATAGTGTGGAATGTGTACTGCTGGGGGTAAATGTGTAGCATTTAGGCTCCTTGCACACAACCTCCTGCATTTAAAACAGGAGTATGATTTGAGAATTACTGGAAAATTATGGGGAGAGTGAAATGCACTTATCCCAATAGTTACAGCCGATGTGCGACACTGAAGCTGTCACATGTCGGCTCTATAGATCGAGAACTGAGTAATCGCAAACCCTTGATCGCTCAGTTCACAATCTTGTCACCGCTCGCCGCAGGTAACAAGATTGTGCTGTGCTGACTGATGGGGGGGGGGGCACAGCTGGCTCTCCCTCTAGAGAGGCAGAGCCAGATGTCAATCAGGTAGCGGGGTGGATTCCATCCCGGCTGCATCGCACATCTGTGCTGTCAGGATATGGTGGGCAATAGCCCGCTTTAGGCTGAGTTTTGGGTCACAGGAGGACATTAGTAAATATCCGACTGTGACCCTGATGAGAACTGCATCTCTCCCTGGACATACAAATTTCCTTTTTATGTAAACGCAGCTAGACTGAATGCACTTACACGCTGCAGAACATCTATAGAAAATCATTACATGCTTACAGATATGTTTATAAAATGGCTCCAAATGGATCTTGACATGTGTTTTTGATGCTTGTGCGCATGAAACCTTCCTTGTAGGAGAGCCTTGATGGAGACTATGATATCAGTGCAAGTCACTTCAAAGAGCATGCGGATTTACCAAGAGATTGGTTGTGCCTATAGGCTTGAGCAACATTTTAGAGAAGTGATAAGGAACGAAGTGAAAGTTTGTGGATGAGTTCAGTGGTAAATCAGTTTTGTAGCAATGCAACACTGCAACCAGTTTAAAAATTGTTTTAGTGTATGGGGTACACATTCTGTCAGTCTGTCCCATTTAGCTAATGTGTTTTTTTACCACTCGAGTGCCTATGTCTATTCCTCTTACGTCCCAGAGCATTTGTTTTTTCCCCGTTTCGTCTTGGTTTTGTACAAGACGAAACGGGGAAAAACGCAAATGCTATATGTGAATGGAGCCTTAGGTTTTGTGGTCTACCATAATGTGCACTGTTTTGTTTTTTTAGCACAGATAGGGCTTTCATTTTTAAAGCTTGATTGTTAACTCTTTGAGCGCAGGGACTGATGTGACTGTGCACTATGTAATGCTTTGTGGAAATTGTTAGCGCTATATAAATACCTGTATAACAAAGTTAGATGCAAATATTTCTATTTCATTGTTTTTTGGCAACAAAATATTACAAAATTAAAATACATTAAAACAAATGCATTTTCCTGCCTTTTTTTTCCCCCAAAGCAACATACAGTAATACCTTGGTTTAAGAGCATAATTCGTTCCGGAAGCATGCTTGTAAAAGCGCTTGTATATCAAAGCGAATTTCCCCATAGGAAATAATGGAAATTCAGATGATTGGTTCCACAACCCAAACATATACATATAAAAATGATTACCATACTGTACTGTAATATAATACTGTACAAAATATAAAGAAAAATAAACCAATTACAGGTACCTTTTGTGGCTGGTGTGAGGGAGACGAGAGAGAGGAGAATTATTGTGTAGGACGACTTTCACTATCCCTAGCGGAATCGCTGCTATCTCTTGGCTCAATGGAATCTTTTTCATTTCGTGAAACCTTGACAAGGAATCTATCCAATGACACTTGCTTTTGCCTCCTTTTGAGGATTTTGCGGAAATGTGACATTGCATTGTTGTTAAACAGATTCATGGCTCGCACTGCTACAGCCTTATTTGAGTGGTGCTTTTCTACAAAATTTTGCACTGTTTCCCACATTTTACACATCTCCCTAATCTTATTTGAAGTGAGGGATTCCTGTGCCTTATTCTCATCCTCTTCTGCAGACGAGATCTCCTCCATAACCTCATGCTGTTGCTCGCAATGCAGATGTATCAGTTCGTCAGTGGTCAGCTCCTGGCCATGTTCCTCCACCAGCTCTTGAATGTCGTCCTCATTCACCTCCAGTCCCATGGTCTTCCCCAAGGACACAATTTCATCGACAACTGGTGACTCCTGTTCATAAGCAGGCCCCTCTAATCCATGTCCAAAAAACGCAATCAGGCCACAGCTTTCTCCAAGCAGAATTTAGGGTTCTCTTGGTGACCCCATCCCAGGCTTTATCGATGATCTTGAGTCAGTTCACGATGTGAAAATGATTTTTCCAAAACTCTCGAAGGGTAAGGTTTGTTCCTTTTGGTCAGCTCAAAGCATCGCTGAAATAGTGCTTTGGTGTAAAGCTTTTTAAAGTTGGAAATGACTTGTTGATCCATTGGCTGGAGGATTGGAGTGGTGTTGGGAGGAAGGAACCTAACCCTAATTAACTCAAATTCTTCCAGTAAGTCGTCCTCAAGGCCTGGAGGATGAGCAGGAGCATTATCCATAACCAGCAATGCTTTGAGTGGCAGATTCTTTTCTAAAAGGTATTTCTTCACTGCAGGACCGAAGACCTCGTTGATCCACTCAACGAACAAGATGCGAGTGACCCAAGCCTTGCTGTTGGACCGCCACATAACATTTAACTGGCTCTTCTGCACCTTTACATTTCTTGAAGACTCGTGGATTCTCGGAATTATACACGAGCAGGGGCTTGACTTTGAATTCCCCACTTGCACTAGCACAAAATAAGAGGGTAAGACGGTCTTTCATGGGCTTGTGACCGGGCATTGCATTCTCTTCTTCTGTAATGTAGGTCCTCTTTGGCATCTTTTTCCAAAAAAGCCCCGTCTCATCGCAGTTAAAAACTTGGTCCGCCAGGTAACCCTCGGAAACCATGATCTTCTGGAACTCGGTAGCGAATGCCTCAGCTGCCTTCGTGTCTGAACTCGCAGCCTCTCCGTGCCTCACAACACTATGGATGCCACTTCTCCTCTTAAAATTATCAAACCATCCCCTGCTTGCCTTGAAGAGTTCTTCATTTTCTGTAGACGTACTTGGACCTGGCAGTTTACTTATGAGGTCGGTATGCAAGGCCTTTGCCTTCTCACAGATAATGTTCTCACTCACAGTATCACCTGCTAGTTGCTTCTCATTTATCCAAACCAGAAGCAACTTTTCTACATCTTCCAGAACAGGTGGCCGTTGCTTTGATATTCTTGTGACTCCTTTTGCTGCATCTACCCCCCTTATTTCTTCTTTCTTTTTTAATATTGTGCAAATGGTCGACGTAGACTTCTTATACAATCTTGCAATTTCGGTCACTCGCATACCTCGTTCGTACTTCTCAATCATTTCCTTCTTTACTGCCACTGTAATCATCTCCTTCTTACCGCCTTTCTTTTCAGCTTTTTTGGGCTTTGGGGCCATTGTACAGTATATACAGTCGCACGGACAGATGACCGAGATGATCACCCACAATCCCTGTGATCGGCGTCATGTCCGGCGTCACGTCCTGCTCAATACAAGCAGGACGCGATGCCGGACGTGACGCTCGTATATACAGACATCGCTCGTATATCGAGGCAAACTTTTGCAGAAATGTTTGCTCGTCTTGCGGAACACTCGCAAACCAAGTTACTTGTAAACCGAGGTATTACTGTATATGTAATCGCTGCACCCTAATACATTTATCCCAAAATATAGTTAGCAAAGTTTGCTGATTAAAACCCCCCATGCAATGTACAGTAGCAGATCACTTCTAATAGATCGCTGTAGGGAAGAGGGAAGACAGCTGCAACAGCTCTGCCCGTGTCTCCGTATTGACAGGAAGTAATTTGTAGTGGTCAACATGGTCAGGCGTGAATCCAAACGCTCAGTGCAGGGCTGCACACCGACTGCCTTGGGAGGATGGCGCTTCAAGACAACAGTATGACCAGCGTGGGCGGGGAGAGGGGGCAGATTGGTGTGGGTAATTTAGGGGAGAGGGGGCAGATTGGTGTGTGTAATTTAGGGGAGAGGGGGCAGATTGGTGTGTGTAATTTAGGGGAGAGGGGGCAGATTGGTGTGGGTAATTTAGGGGAGAGGGGGCAGATTGGTGTGGGTAATTTAATTTTCTCACATTTGGTGAGAAAGTGGAATTACCCTTTAAAATGGGCCTAGTAGTTCAACCTTTCCACCACCTGCTAGTAAACACCCTGTAGGGCAGCACCAACAGATGCCGTAATATTTTCAAGCTTAATCTGTTTTGTTTGTTCTAAATGTTTTCCTTGTGATTCTAAATGTCTGATTTGCATATTATCTTTTATATAGAATGAAACGAGGAAAAATGGCCAGCGACACCATTATTGGTTTATCAGTAGGAGAACTGGGGGAGTTGTCAAAGAGGCCCAAAAATTCAGGAGATGAATCAACAAAGATGTCCAAGTCACATGACTGGGGACATTTACTACCAGATATAATACTACAGATTTTTCAGTATTTGCCTCTCTTGGATCGTGCACATGCTTCACAGGTGTGCAGGAACTGGAACCATGTTTTTCACATGCCTGACCTGTGGCGCTGCTTTGAATTTGAACTTAATCAACCAGCTACTTCTTACCTGAAGGCAACACATCCTGACCTTATCAAACAGATTCTAAAAAGACATTCAAATCATCTCCAGTATGTCAGCTTCAAGGTATGTTGCTGAAATGTTGTCATTTCCAGATGAAAATACTGCAGTGTGCTGGCCATTTGTATTTAGCAGTGTCATTTCACGGTTAACTCGTGTGTAATCTTATTCTTTTTCAGCCATGTGTTTTTCATTCAAAGCTCCTGTTTTGCACTTTTTACAAACCCTCCCAATTGACAGTATACCATAAGTTGCCAATCTTCTGGACTGAAAAATTGGCCTAACTATTGATCTTTACTGATTAAAGTAGCTCAGTGATGCTGCCACACGAGCTTTTTTGTTATCCTGTGAAAAACAATATTGTGCTAAGCTAATAATCATACATATCTAATACATGGAAACATATATAAATGAATCGCATATATGAGCCTTCAAACAAATGAGGCATAAAAAATATATATCCACACACAAAAAAAACAATAAAGACAAAAAGAGTCCCAGGAAGTGAGTGAGTGCTCACCTGGTACCAGCATAAATCCAGGAGGAAAGAGAAAAAGGACAAGGACATAGTGCGTAACGTCCAATAAAATATAACTTATTAAATAAAAAAATGCGTACTCACAGTACAGGCATTGGGTATTGCTGGATCAAACCAGCAATGCCTGTACTGTTTACACCATTGTGAGTACGCATTTTTTATTAAGTTGCATTTTATTGGACGTTACGCACTATGTCCTTATCCTTTTTCTCTTTCCTCCTGGATTTATACTGGTACCTGTGATCTGAGGAGACCTTATCGCCTTTTCTGTGCATTGGCTTCCCTCCCCCATTAGGAAGGGAAAAAGCGCATTTGACCTAGCTCTGTGGGTCTACCTCCCCAGGTGAGCACTCACTTGTTGTCATCACTCACTGGGTGGAGGTGAAGGTCTGCCTGCATTGTGTGATTAGCCTTACCTGAGAGTTAAGGTGCCCATACACTGCACGAGAATTGCGGGAAATCCCGCGATTGTACGATAATCGTGCAGTGTATGGAAGGCATGTGACCGTTTCTACTGTACGGTTGCACGACTTTTGTATTTCGAGCATGTTGGAAAACCAGCCGAGAATCGTACGATTTTCGGCTGGTTTTTAGCATGACCGAGAGATCACTGCCGAACGGGACGGTGTGCGCACGCGCACACTGCCCGTTCAGCATTGCAGTCATCGGAAGCCCGCACCCCCAGGGGGGCGGGCTTGCAATGATCGCAATTACGATCTGCCTGTCCAAGATGGGCAGATCGTACGTTTTTTTAATTACTTTACAACCCTCGCAAGACAAAAGCCTTGCAAGGGTTGTAGAGTGTATGGGCCCCTTTACATGCAGATTGGCTGCGAATCATCTGAGATATTTTCTTGCACAATCACCATTGTTTCCTTTTGTTTTTTCCTGGGACTCTTTTTGTCTTTATTGCTTTTTTTGTGTAGATATATTTTTTTATGCCTCATTTGTTTGAAGGCTCATATATGCGATTCATTTATATATGTTTCAATGTATTAGATATGTATGATTATTAGTTTGGCACAATATTGTATTTCACATTTTCCAGATATTTAGTTATATCCTTATTTTCAGTTTGCACTTACTGGCGCTGATCACCTTGTTTATTTTTTTGTTGTTATCCTATTAGGCAAAAATATAATTTCCCAAACAAACTTTTAGATGTGACAGGATCACAGCATTTTTATTTCCTGCAGTTAGATGAAGCAGGTCCTGTCCGTGTAATGTGAGGTGATGCTTACTTTAAAATAAATGACTAGTAAGCTGAATGATGAGCTGAGTTCATTTAATCTTAGAATTTTATTGTAAAACCATTCTTGTATTTTCTATTTTCAGTATAAACCATCATACTTTTATTTCAGGTGGATAGCAGCAAGGAATCGGCAGAGGCTGCATGTGATATTCTCTCACAACTGGTAAATTGCTCCCTAAAAACACTTGGACTTATTTCAACTGCAAGACCAAGCTTTATGGACCTACCAAAGGTAAATTCTATTGTTTGCATTGAAAACTAGGGTTGCACCGTTACCGTTTTTTCCGTTTAGAGTACGAGTACCGATATTTATGTTTTCGGTACTTGCCGATACAGAGTTCTGGTACTTCTGCTAGCATGGAGCCAGCTTCCTGCCCAATCAGGAAGCCATGCGGCGTGTCATTACCAGCCACCTGGCTTCTTGATTGGCCGGAAAGCCAGCTTCCCAGCCAATCGGCATGGAGCCTGCCAAGCGATGAGCCATTACCCGCCGCCTGGCTTCCTGATTGGCTAGGAAGCTGACCCCATGTTCCCTCGCGGCACTGACAGTCAGAGGAAGTCTCCCTCTGACTGGAAGTTCCGGCATGGGGGGGGGGGGGGGGGGTTAAGTATTGGAGCATTTGGGCGAGTATGAGTACTTCACTCACCTTCATTCTAAAATGAGCGATAAGGGCTTTCAAAGCATGGCTTATGGACAATTTTGAGCGCCTCTGCTTTTAGAAAATATAGAATTGTTTGGGGATTTAAAGTCATTTTTCTATCCAAAAATTCAAATTTTAATGTGTGTGAAAAAATTGCTCCAGTCCTGATGTGGTTAAAGGATAACTAAGCCCAAGTACAAATATATGTAATATATTGCAGCTTACCAGTCCTTAGATGTGGGATCTGCTTTCGTTTTTTATTTTTTTTTCAGACCAACAACATTTTTAGCAAGAACAAACATACCTGTTGATCTTGCCAGAAATACAATGTTTTAGAACTTCCTGTGCACTGAAATTATTTACCAGCAACGTTCACCTTCTTCCATGCTGGAGACCCACCCTGGGCCTATTTGTTATTTGCTGGATTACCAGATGAAAGTAAAAAAACAAATGAAAAAGAAAACTAATGCAGCAACCAC